GGAATACAGGTTTATTGAAAAACTAATTATGGGAAATTTTATGTTTATTTACTCTGAAAAACTGGAAGAGTATGCAGCAAAATGTTGCAATGAGCCTCTCTAGGTGTTGTGCTTATACTGTAGGTGATTTTCCATTTTCCTATTTCTATTTTGTTCATGTTCATTCTCTAATTCATCTACAATGAGCATTTAGTTCTTTTATAATAAAAATAAAGGGCAACACTAAATGAAATAAGATGAAGAGTATTGTGCTGGAACTAAAATGTAAAATTAAGGGGGACAGGAGAGTTGGTGAATGCATTGATAAGTGGTTCCTTTTACTTTGTATAGTCTGCTATCTTTGCCACTTCCCTGGATACATGCTTGAGGTGAGCTGCCAATCTAGAGGCAGGAATGAATTGCTGGCATTGGGCGATACAGACCTCTTGACCATGTATTAATACGAAAGTTTCAACTTCATTGCCTTTGTGATAGTTCTCAGAAAGGTTATTTCTGCACAGCCTTTTTTGGCTTTGGTTTTTAGTGGAACAGCTTGGCCACTTATGGTATGATCTTAAGTGATGCTGAATTTCAAGAGAGCTTGAAGGATGACTATGATTTACCTAAAAGTGTCAGTCTAGGTGATTCTAGACCATTCTGCTAGGTTTAAAAAAAAAAAGAGAGAGAAGAAAAGAAAAAAAGAAATCACCGTTATCACCATTTTTAGCAATTTATTCTTACAAAATGGTCACCACAGACTACTCCACCTCCTTCATGCCCAAATATAAATGATATATTTAGATTGGACCTATCACCACATGCAACTACCATCAGAGAACCAAAGCTCTGTAACTGGGAAGAAGCTTTCAAATAGCCACAAATTGCTGATGCTGAATGTTTTCTTAGAAGCTTCACATTTACAATGGGTAAGTGCAGTAAGTTAGTTGTCCAAGAATATCCAAGAAAAAGGTTTAGGTATTGATAAATTCATACCCTATGGGTTTTGTTTGTTTGTTTGTTTTTGTTTTGTTATGAGACAGAGTCTTGCTTTGTTGCCCAGGCTGGAGTGCAGTGGCGCGATCTCAGCTCACTGCAAGCTTCGCCTCCCAGGTTCATGCCATTCTCCTGCCTCAGCCTCCCAAGTAGCTGGGACTACAGGCGCCAGCCACCATGCCTGGCTAATGTTTTGTATTTTTAGTAGAGACGGGATTTCACTGTGTTAGCCAGGATGATCTTGAGCTCCTGACCTCATGATCCGCCCGCCTTGGCCTCCCAAAGTGCTGGGATTACAGGCTTGAGCCACTGCGTCCGGCCATACCCTATGGTTAAATGATCCCCTCTCTTAAAAGCGATGCTGAATTCTGGGTGACCAAAGTTCATATTTCCATAGTACAATATAAATGTGGGTTTAAGGTTGCAGATGAACGTTGCTGAAACTTCTCAGTATAATGTGAGGATTCCTTTGACATTCAAATGTGAATTGGACTCAGACTGAAGTTATTAAAAAGATGCTGTGATCATCAGGCTAGAGGAGGAAGGGGTCCTTAGCTGGGTCAAAGGTAGAGGCAATGCCCAGGGCCATATTTTAGAAGCATTTTAAAGGGTCTCTGACATCTCTTTTAATTTCCCTTATTCTCCTGAAGAGCTCATCTGCAGCCATGGCTTTGTCCATTACTTATAACCTGAAAAAGACCCCCACGTCAACATTTCTTGTCTCAACTTTTCTCTGTACCTCTTTCTCGTATCTCCAGCTACCTGGTATGTAGTTCTTTCTTGATATTCTGTACACTTTTGATATGTCAGACAGTATCTTTCATCTCTCTTAACAAACTGTATTCCCATATGACTAACCTACATTTCTTTGGCAACAGTGTTCTCCAAGGCAATCTCTCTTATATGTTCATGGTCATCGGTGACTCCCTTCCTCTCTTTTACCCTCTTCTTCCTTCATGGCTGCTCACTTTCACTTTTCTTGTTCTCTCCCTTATTTAGACCCAGATCATTTCTTGCCAGCACTATTGAGATAAGATAACTTTGTTTATTGGTTTCCATGCCTGTATCTCCTCCTGCTCCAATCCAATTCACAGCCCATGGGAATAGCCCAAGACCACCTGAGAGTGACTGGATCCAGCTTGTAAGGTTAAAACTGGGGACAAGAATAGGCTAAAAAGCTTAAGCCAAGGTTACTGGATTTCATCTCCCATGTATCAGATGAAGGAGCAATTGGACTATTTCCGGGTTCAAGAAGATAGAATGCTAACCATTGAGAGGAGGTAACAGGGATCAGATTTCAGCACCATGTCAGAAGAGCTTTTCATCAATTAGAGCTGTGATGCAGTGAAACAGTCCTAGTAGTGTATGACAGTGAATTCCTTTCCCTGGATATGTTCAAGCAGAACTAGAAAATCACTTCTAAGGGATATTGTATCAAGCTTACATGCTTTAGGCCAGCTGACCACTAAGGTCTTTTCAAACTCCAAATTTTTACAACATATCACAGCCATCTCCATCCCTGCCTCTGCCTCACACCTGCTGGGAATCCAGAGTCTGTTCTTGCTGCTCTACACTTTCCTCACTCCAAGTTCTACAGCGAGTAGCATGCTCTCCTCCAGAGGGATGCTTCCCCTGCACATCCCATCCATGGCCTTTCAGTGTAAGTTTCTGCTGCCTTGGGCCATTAAGTAATCTGAACAGGGTAGATCTGGTTATTTAATAGCTTTTATATGCCAGGTCCCATGCCCAGCATTTTTCCTTATGTGATCAGTACACTAACCCTGTGAAAATACTATAGATTTGGATTTTTTGAAACCCACTTTAAAGAAGGGACTGAACCAAGGTTTTGTAACTCCGGGTTCTGGGTACTTGAGAAAAGGAAGGAGGAAAGGAGTGAAGGGACCCTCAACCATGGGCCACAGATTGGGGTAGGCTAGAGAGGTTCTTCACAGGAAATCCTACATACTGAAAAATTACATCTGGAATTTTTATCTCAATAAGTATTAAACTATCTGTGTTGCTAACAAAAATTATAAATATTGATGTTTAATATAGTTACTGGGGAACTAACTGAGAAAAGAGGAAACTATAATATATTTGATTAAATAATAAAAGAATAATTACAATGCATTACTTGTTATATTCCTGGTCACCATATAATATAGTAGCAAGTATTCATGTTCCTCAAATATGTGTTAGATTAGTAGTGCTTAAATTATTTTTAATTTTAACACTACTCTGTCACAATATGCCTGGCTTCCATGTAGTATGCCATGTATCTGATCTTTTTTCAAAAATCAGAGATGCTAATTAAGAAGTACTACTATGAACAGGTTATGAGATAGGATAATGAACATGGATATGCCCAGCGCTATATGTTGCACATAATAAATGTTTATTGGATCTGAGTCTGGCATCTATACAAGGGATGAGGCAAAGGACATGTTATTATTTTATTTCCTGATATAAGTAACCATCAAAAATTTTCAATTACATGTATCCCCTGGCTCAGAAATTCCACTGTCATAGTATTCTATATTTACACATAACTTAATTAATCGGTCTCCTATTGTTTATAATCCCATCTTTGTGAGCTGACAATTAGAAAGAACTAAAAGTTGTTCAGTCCCTACTGTATGCCAGGAACTTTACGTTTGTTATCTCATTAATTCTCAATTAAGCCTGAGGAGAAGATATATTATCCCCCATTTAAGAATAAAAAAACTGAGGCCCATAGAGACTACGTAACTTACCCAAGATCATATAGTTAGTAAATACCAGATCTGGAATTTGAACTCAGATATTTCTGGCTAAAACCCAAATTTACTCCAACATTCCAATGGTTTAAGCACTGGATTCTGTGGAAATGTCGTGAAGTGGTAAGTGAGGCCAAAAGGAAGGCTGGGTAGGTAGATCACTACCCTTACCTCAACGAAAGCACCTGCCTTACAATATAACAAACATTTAAAAATTAACCATTCCAATACATCACATGTTGGTATAGCGAGTTGACATTGAAAATAATTTTCACATAGTTCTATAATATGTAGTGATAGATGGCTGCTTCTTAAAAGTGAAATAATTTATCATTAGCCAGCAACCAAGGATAACTTAGTGGATTGGAAAAGGCACCCAGGAATCACAAGCATTTAGAAATTGATGGAATTCAGAACTTTGCCAAGATGGGGGTAAGGGAAGGTCTGAGGTAACAAAGGTCACCTAACCCTGGGTCAGCCTTAGCTTAGTCTTCAGAAAAGAGTCTCACAAAGCATATCTCCACAAAGCTGGATGGGCCTGTTTTGGTCAAATATTTACAACATAGTGTCAACACAACTTAATGTTTCATTTAAGCTAAGAAAAACCAAACCAAAACAAAAACCGATGAGTATGAAGTTGTTACTATTTTAGGAGAGGGCTCTTCCACCTGTGTACATCATTCATTCCTTTGTTCATTCATTCTGGGGATAGTGGGCAACCACAGCATATTTTGGTAGCAGGTTGACTACAGAGTGTTCGCCCACAGGAATGAGCTGGAGACTCACTCACTACACTAAGTCAGATTTTTGCTTTGGTATTTCTTTTCTTATTTAAAGGTATGAAAAAACTTATTAAAATGATTGAGTATTATTTCAAACCTCTCACATACTTTTATTACTTTAAGGTGGGATTAGCGATGGGCATGGGATGGGTGTTAAATTATTTCCCCAAGGGAAAAAAAGTAAGCTTTTCCTCATTACCCAATTTGTATTATGGAATTTCCATCAATTCCGTCAAGTAAGCAATGGAGTTTCATGTGACAAAAGCTGAAAAAAATAACAGTATTAGCCCACAAATAGCAGTGGAAATGGAGAAGATAAAAAGGTTATTATTTGTTTGAAAAGTACCCAGGGTCAAAACCTTTTAGAATGTGAGAGCCCAGGTGGAACCCTGGTTTGTTTCCTCAGGCAACAGAGACCTCCGGCTAGAAAAATGTATTTATAGTCCTTTGCTTGAGATTTTATCTGATTCTTATTTTATTTTCATTCCAGTTGCTACATTGATGGCCGGGTGGTCAAGGTGATGGACTTCCTGAAAACTCGCCTGTTAGACACACTCTCTGACCAGATTAGGAAGATTCAGAAAGTGAGTAAAAGTATCCTGGGAAGAAAAGGAGCAAGTCTGGGGGTAAGGCAAGGAAAAAGACACAAAGTCCCAGCTGGGCCTCAGCACTGTGGGAACCAGGGTAGAAAAATAGGAAAATAGTACAGTCCAGATGGGCATGGTCACAAGCCCCCCATCAAAATTGTTGCCTGTCATTTGTTGTTTTTCAAATTGAAAAGGGTCTGTGTGTGCCATATCAAGGTTTAAAGCATCTCTATTGTTTTTAATTAATTTTTTTTTTGAAATGGAGTCTTGCTCTGTTGCCCAGGCTGGAGTGCAGTGGCATGATCTCAGCTCACTGCAACCTCTGCCTCCTGGGTTCAAGCAATTTACCTGCCTCAGCCTCCCAAGGAGCTGGGACTACAGGCACAAGCTGCCACGCCCAGCCAATTTTTATATTTTTAGTAGAAATGTGGTTTCACCATGCTGGCCAAGCTGGTCTCGAATTCCTAACCTCAAGTGATCCACCTGCCTCAGCCGCCCAAAGTGTTGGGATTACAGGTGTAAGCCACTGTGCCTGACCTAAAGCATCTCTATTTTAATTGCTTCTAAACTGTGAGTTTCGTAAGGGAAGAATAGATTTACCTGATATTTTCTTTTTTGGAGGGGTTTATTTTAGGTTACTTAAGGGAGAAAATGATTATATTCATTCAGTGAAATTCCAGTCTGGGGCACTGGCAATTCTAAGCCATATTTACACTGTTCCTAGGTGTCTTAGAATTAGCCAAGTAAGATCTTAATTTTGTAAAGTTGAGAGGAAATCTATAGTATATTAAGCAATTGCATGTAGGTGCTGTCAGCACACCTTTGGTCAGTGATTCTCAGACTTGAAGACAATCAAAATCACCAGTGGTGCTCACTAAAGTTTCTAATTTCACTCCTGAGGTTCTGATTTAATATGGCTGGAGTGGCTTCCAGAGGTCTCTATTTTTAATAATCTGTCAAGTGATTTTCCGTAATGCCAATTATGGATCACATTTTGAAATCCTGGATTAGTTAATTCTAAATTGTGAAGATCTTACATCTACAATTGTCATGGGCCTCTACAACATATTATTATCTTTGGTTGTCCGGTGAAGGTTCTTTTCCAGGGAATGGGGACCCTTTGAATAGTTTGCTATTTCTTGAGCGAATTAAACAAATCTTTGGAAAAAATTTGTAATAAGCAGGCTCTCAATAAATACAAGATGAATTAATAAACAGACAAATGAATAGCTCATTTATAGCTCTGAAAGGAAATCCTGTTTGAAGAAATCAAAGAACATCAGTTTTGACAGCTGAAGTGGAAGGCTTCACCTTTTTTGTATTCATCCCAATGTCATACTCAGATTATAAACAGCATCTGGAATTCTCTTGTTCTCAAGAGTTGGATAGGCTGAGAAGCCTCAGAACTTCTGAACTACTACATCCCAATCTGATCCCTCCAGGGAGCAGGTGCATTGGCCAGCACCCTTATCTGTCACTGCCTTTCACTAGGCAAAGCCTAGGAGAACTAAATGATTTGAAATATTTCTACCAGTCCCTGTTTGATATTCATTTAGTGAAAAATATTCACTGAGCATTTAGCGAGTACCTAAGGCAAAGTGTCAGATGCTGGGGATACAAAGTGGTATAAGACATGGTCTCTGCCCTCAAGATAAAGTAAGTTTTAACACTTACTTTCAGCAGATTGAAAACATATTACCTAATGTAATAGAATGTTAACCTATTGAATACTGTAGTCTTCTAAGCACATTATGCTAATCTGATATTACATATTGCCCTCTAGAAGGAGGGAAGAATTTTCTGTCATTAATTCATTTGTTTATTACTTCATTCAATAAATGTTTATTGAGTGCTTACTATATCTAGACACTGTTCTAAGTGTTTATATTACAGTAGTGTACAAGATAGTCAAGTTCCTATAGTTTTGGCTTTTCGCGTTTTGAGTTTGATCAGAGGGTTGTTGTTGGAAGTAAAATGATTCAGTTCTATCAAGGCACTGAGAGTGAAGGTTCTAACTGCACTCATGTTATTATTTAAGTACAACAAGTGGCTGTAGGTCAGAACTAAGACAAAGGTGTTGGAAGTTAGGTTCTTTCCTTTATCCCCACTTCCCGTTACCCTCCCCCACTGCATATGCCTTCACCATATGAACCAGTTTTAAAACTGAAATAACTTACCTCCTGATTTATCTGGGCCCAAGAAACTTCAGAAAAAGAGCTAAAACCCTGTGCCCAATTGGTATTCAGATCTTTAAAAACAAGCCTAACGGACTTAGAAGGGGAAGGGTAAGTGCTGTCACAGGGAGGAACAGTGGGACCCCTGAGAGATGACTGTATGCAGAAAGCACCTGGCAGGGGAGGGCTAGGCTTCGCAGCAGGGTCTGGACTTACCTTTTGGCAGTTGCAAAGAGAACATGTCCAAAGAGAACCCCTCAAACCAGGGTTCCTATTCTGAATATCTCTTGCTGTGCAACAAATTACCCCAAAACTTAGTAGCATAAAACAGCCATTTATTAAGCCAAAGGATTGTATGGGTCAGGAATTCTCAAAGAGTACAGAGAGAATGGTTTGTCTCTGCTCCATGATGTCTGAAGCCTGAGCTAAAAGACCTAAAGGCTGGGATTACTGAAAGGTTAGTATCTGGGACCATCAGAAGACTTGTTCACTTCCATCTCTGACAGGGGATGCTGTATCACTTTTCCTAACCTAACCTCAGAAGTCACACGGCATCACATTAACCATATCCTATTCATTGAAGGAGTCGCCAAGACCCACCAAGCTTCAAGGTGAAAAGAAATTAACTCCTCCTTTCGATGGGGGAGTAGCAATACTCTGGAAAAGCATATAAGACCAGAAATGTTTTTGCAGTCATTTTTGGAAAATATGATCTTCCAGTTTCATCCTCCCTGTTTCATTTAGTAGGCTTTAAGTCATTTCCCTGTTTTTTTCCCCCGATTCTCTTTTACAAAGCTCTTGCCAGATACTGCCTTAAGTGAGTATATGCTAGAGGTGTTGCTGGATCATGGATTCCCTGAGATTTGAACCACTGGATAGACTTCTCATTGGCTAAAGCAGTCTGGACCCAGTTGTTAGGGCCTCCAAGAGGAGAGTCTCTCTCACCACAACCCAAGGTGTACTAAGCACTGGCCTTCCCTGGGGACATGAGAGCTAGGAGACTAGACCAGGATCCCCAAACTTTGATTGCTGAAATGTTGCTTTGACTGTTCCTGAAGTCCCTGGTGGGTGGGGAGGAGGGTTCTTGGGAATTAGGGTCCAAAGTACAAACTAGGGCGCACTAGCAAATGACTTTCTTACAAGTTCCTCAAATCATTTCAGAGATGGGCCAAGTTAGGTTTCACGTTTTTTAAATTTTTTTTTTTTTTGAGACAGTCTCGCTCTGTCGCGCAGGCTAGAGTGCAGTGGCGCAATCTCAGGTCACTGCAAGCTCCACCTCCTGGGTTCACACCATTCTCCTGCCTTAGCCTCCTGAGTAGCTGGGACTATAGGCGCCCGCCACCACACCCAGCTAATTTTTTTGTATTTTCAGTAGAGACGGGGTTTCACCATGTTAGTCAGGATGGTTTCGCTCTCCTGACCTCATGATCCACCCGCCTCGGCCTCCCAAAGTGCTGGGATTACAGGCATGAGCCACGGTGCCTGGCCTTCCAAGTAAGGTTTTATTGTCTCTATACCTGGAACCTTCACCCCAAAGCTGGAAGTGTACTTTGTTTCTTCTCTCTTTGTAGGCCGGGCGCGGTGGTTCAAGCCTGTAATCCCAGCACTTTGGGAGGCCGAGACGGGCGGATCATGAGGTCAGGAGATCGAGACCATCCTGGCTAACACGGTGAAACCCGTCTCTACTAAAAAATACAAAAAAAAACTAGCCGGGCGAGGTGGCGGGCGCCTGTAGTCCCAGCTACTCGGGAGGCTGAGGCAGGAGAATGGCGTGAACCCGGGAGGCGGAGCTTGCAGTGAGCTGAGATCCGGCCACTGCACTCCAGCCTGGGCGGCAGAGCGAGACTCCGTCTCAAAAAAAAAAAAAAAAAGAAAAAAGGAATTGAAGTCCTAAGGACCCCATTAGGCCCACAGTGGTAGAAAAGGGGCAGATTTTTCACCAAAATGGTGCCATGTGGGAGTGGCTTTATAAATCACTGGTAAGGCTGTTTGATAGGGTATTAGGCCCAGGATTTGAAGTCTGATGGCCTGGCTTAAGTATAGCTGTGTGGCTTTGGGCCAGTCACTTACTTGATTTCTCTGATTTTGTCTCTTTGTAAAATGAAGATGCTAAGGATACTATTCTCCCTCCCTCTTAGGTAGATTAGGAAAGTCATGTGAGAACGCCCTGTTTTGTTCATTGTTATTGAATGCTAGCTCTTATTGCTATTATTATTGTTGTTATAGTTATTATAGCTATTTTTAATAATTTCTGTGACTAGAGAAGCTTTACATTACCTTTATCCTCAACTTGTTCTTTGCTTTTTCTCCTCTTTCCTCTTTTTTTGAACTCTGGGGAATATGATAGGTGATATTTTTGGCACCTGAAAGACAATGATTCAATTGCTAAAAACAGCTGTGGTTTGCAAATTTGGACTGCCACTTAGAGAAGAATTCTCAGTTTTCTGAGCAGTGGGTGAATTATCTGGTTATATGAAAATCTACATGATGCATCTGAAAGCCAAATAGAGACATGTTTGAGCAATGTGTGGACAACTCACCCCTTTGGATGATCCACACACTCTTTCCCTTTCATTAGAATGATGATGATCATGTGTACATTGGGAGATGAGTCAAAGGAAAGAGTTGATAATCTAAAAATACAGGGAAGAGTCAGATGGGAAAGTGAGAAAGTTTAGGACACAGTGCAGATGGTATAGTCTGGATAGCTGGGCTGACTCCAAAACAATGACTTAAGAACCAAGAAGAACCACTTTTGCTGAAGTCATTTGGACTCTGTGATTTGTGTCTTCATCTCCTAGAGGAATCAGAAGAGGAAATAAC